GGTAGGTTTTTCTGCCAACTTGTGCTACTGGTGCGTAATAATTATAATAGTAATACTAAACTAATCTATTTTATCTAATATTCTATTTCCTAAAATTTAGAAGTGCTGGAAGCTATTAATTTTGCTGTCTTTTCCAACTATAGTTCATAATTTAACTGTGCTTTATTTTAGGGACAAATGATCCAGTTTTGAATGCTGTATCATCCATAAAACTTTGATCTTTTTGGCGTTCGTTGAATTTGCTGTATGAAACCGAATAAACACTTGCAAAATTTCTGTTGTTCTTTCCCCTAGTTTCTTAAAGAGGCTTTGAGTAGGCCGTGAGTCTGCGGTACTTGAGCACCTACAGTCAGTTAGATTTGACAGCCGATTTGCTTTTCGAATAGCGGAGGCAGACGCATTCGGTGTCTCAAACATTCACCATCCGATACAAGGGTTTGAGCTTCAGCAGAAGATAACCTGTCTCGCGTCCGTTTTTGGATCAAATCGAAATATCTATTCAGACTGGGATGAATTCAGGTAAGAAACGTATATTTCACCCAATAAATGGAATATTAATTACGATAAGGAATACGAACTGGCAAAACTGGATACGAGGATGAACAAGCGTGATCTGTGCCTTCTACGACGTCGGGAAATTATGGATTGGCCATTGTTGCGTCGTCCGGCGAGTGTCAAGTATTACAAACTGGGTTCCACTGGACCACAGACATCTAAGAAGAAGCTGAATCGATGCAACAGTCAAATTATTTGGCCAACAATGAAAAAAAAGACGTACAGTATAGAATGCTGGAGGAGCGTCTCCAGTGTGCACAAATTAGGTAATCAAGTAATCTGTTAAATCAACCCATTCCAAAATCTAGATCATTGAATATCACAGGAATTTGTCGATAGACGTTGATCTGCAGATATAAGACGTAATCACGAAAGTATTTACTGCTTCTACGATCACTAAATATTCTAAGTTATTACTGTAGCAACGTTATTAGTCACCAATCGACATCAATCAAACCACTAACAAATAAAACCTCTAACATTCAAACAACCTACCAACAAAACAGCGTATCAAAGACCGTTTAAATTAGGCACTTCAAGTATATTCGATCACTGAAAAGCAGCAGAACTATAACTAGACAAAAAATATTTTGTTAACAATCTCTGATCGACGTTAAACGCTCGCTCAGTTTTATGTTATGACGGTCGGTTTGTCGCGGCCGGTGTTTTCTTGGAGCTTCGAAATGCGCAACGCAATACGAATCAATGGCTGAAGTAACTCCTATAAAATATTCTATTATTCATCGAAATATTATTCGCTAAAGTAGGGCAGAAGAACAGATTTCTACTGAATGGTTTTGTTGAAAGAATATAGGGACAAATTCATTTAATTTCAAAGCAATATTCCATTCTGGGTGAGGGGGTAAAATCAGGGCGCCTCTGCAATGCTGTCGGCTTTCCGCCAAATAGACAAGCTCTGCAAATTGGATTCCAAAGCGCGAAAATGCCGGATCTTCTGCGTAATCGTCTCAGATTCGCTGCGTTTCTTAGAACAGTATTGCTTATGGCCGTACCATGTTTTTTCTGCGGCATCCTTATCACATATTCAAATGACCACAATTTCGTTCTATCGATCAGTAAAAGGAGGGGCTCACAATGTATGGTCATTTGGACACTGGCGAACTGAGACCGTAAGTGGCGATTCCTTGCAACTGTTTGTCAGTAAACACAGAACAGAATACTTGGGTTACTTTTTTGCACTTGTAATGTAGTAGGCACATTGAAACCATTTTAAAGTAAAGACAACAGTCAAGAAAAAAACCTGTGCCGAGATCGCGTGTCTTGCGATGTCGCCTTCGTAACTGTCGATGTACATTCGAATTGTAGCCCCGGAACTTCCGGTACCGCTCAGCCGAAAAACGATCCTCGAGCAGTCGTCGAAAATTAAACGAATTCCCTAAAAGCGCATTTAAAATTCAGCACATAAATAAGCGAATATTAAATCATTGCGGGTTAAAAGACGTAACTGATACGAAAACGGACAAACACATGAGCATCATGTGGAATTTTGCATCTTCAACTAAGACAAACATCCAT